AGATAAATAAGGCACCGATTAGGTTTTGTGACTCTACAATATAAGTTCTAAATTAACTTTACATTTGCTATAATATACCCGTTGACAAATTTCATGGATTTAACCAGTATTAGGACTCAAATTATAGTAATACCTGGAGTTTTCACTAAAATTAAACATTGCATCCCCTATAATCTTAAAAAGGTAACAAAGTAGAATTTTTTTTTAAAATAGCTATGCTTCATTTTATAACCTTAATTGGATTTCTCATAGCTGTACCCACTGCCTTAAAACATTTCATATTGGACATAGACTCCATAATAAATTAAAATTAAATATTTGCCACTTAAAAATTGTCTTGATAAGATGGGACCCTATAAACCCCTAGTTAAAAAAGTTAATATGGTTTAACGTAAGTTAAAATAAGTCCTTCATGGATTAAACCTTGTTATATAAAACGTAAATAACAAAGAGGCAATTATCTCCATTGCCTCTCCATTTAACAGCCCCATTTTCCCTATTCTAAACCTCGAAAATAATAAAGGGCACCTCACAGTGGATGACTACAACCTTAACGGTGTGGTCTTATCCACAAGGATCCCACTATCTTACATGAATTCGATGTCTATAGTTATATTTAGATATAGTCATATCTAATATGATTAAAATGGCTAACTTTATCCAGTCCATAACTGGTAAATATATTGTTCTTATAGCTCTGGCTAATATCTTCTGTACCTATTTCAGCAGCTCCTCAACTGCAGTTTGCCTACACCTCTAAAGGGGCACAATACACCAGGCCACCTATGAGTACGTCCACAATTTCCCATTGCACACAAACTTTACAGATAGAAAGTGCATCCATCTCCCTCCAGGAACACAGAGATGATATTATATAATATTAATAGCATCTTCCTTCAAGGAGCTTCATTTAACATATTCATATGTACATTCAAGTCCAACATTTTGTAGTTCTCTTGGGGTTCTGATGGCAACATATTCCTCATTTACAAATTTTACTTAATCTTGTTGATGGTGCTCCCTATGAATCGGCCCACTTTGAATGGGGTTCCCTTGAACAAAAAGGCACTAAAATCTGCCCAAATTAATATCAGCAGGTATACCCATTGATGACTACAGAGACTTCTTTACTTAAGAGGCTTTAATAACCTCTTCTCATGCCCCCTGGAGACTCTGGACCAATTCCGATGGCTCTGAGTTGCCTAAGACCTCTTGACCTTAGGCTATACACTATTAAAACCATAAACGACTGGCTCCATACTGGGCTTTCCTGGAAATAGAGGCTCTCACAGGTCTTGAGTCTGTGACCCTCCATACCCAGCTGCCTATTATGCTTTGGGTCATGCAAATAGCACCCCCACAGCTCGACATGGCTACTAAGTCCTTAAGACAGGATTGTATCCTGACAACCCTGGGCCCTCTAGCATATTGTACATGCAGGAGAGAGTGAGCTTCCCTGTCCTCAGTCCCTTGCCAGATGCCATAGTGCTGGAGAAGGTCACCCTTCTGCCAGATCCCTTGGCTACCTGGAAAGTTTCTTTGGGTTATCTGAGTGAACAGCAGTTGGAGTTCATGGACTATACAAATGGCACTGCCAACCATCATATGTGACAGAGCTAGGCCAAATATTACTGAATGTGGGATGCTGAGGCTAATACATAGCCCCATCTTCACACTCATTATAAACTGTTGGGCCATTACCTAATAAACTGTCCCTTTCAGACTTAAGTAACACTAAGAACCTCTTGCCTCTTAACTATGCAAAATACAAATAAAAATCACATGTCTCTATATATACTAAAGCCTCAATATGAGGTTTTCCTGGAATAATAACAAAGATAATAACGAAGACAGGTTTTACCACTCAAAATACACCATGTTGGGCTCTTGAAAGAGGCAGTCAATAAAACTTTCATGTACCGAATAGGTCCCAAAGAGCTAGTTTAGCTGAGAGACAAAACAGTCCTCTCAAACAATTTCTTTTAAAATTCCAGTCCAACGAATGAACCTTTAAATGCATATTTATCTTGCCCCAGCCCTTACCTACCTTTATAGATTTTTCACTCTCAGCCTCCTCACATAAGGGCTGGAAGCCTGAGCAAAAAGGTGTTTACTCTCCTGGGAACAATTAACATTGATTGTCCAGTGGGTCAGGAAACTGCTTATCTGACATGGGATCTTTGAGCCTAAACTTTCATCATAAAACAAACAAGCAAGTAAAACCAAAAATCTGTCTAATGAGATGCACATCATTCTGTTTTCTGTTTATTACTACTAATCTGGGTTATTTCATTGATTTACATTCAAACACAGCAAATGCTGAGACACGTCAAACCAAGTCTGTATCCAGGTAAAAAACAGACCTAAGTCCCTTATCCTAGGTGATTGTCCTTGTTAGGAGCTTCCTGCTGGAGAGGACACTGCCTCAGACAACATTGATCCAGCCCAACACTTTGTCATTGAAGATGAATTCACCCTTTGCACCAGAGACAGCTTCACCCTGGACACTAAAATTTCTACCCTGGAAATATCCAGACTGCTTTTCAGGTGTAATTTGGACACAAACATTTGGGCTTTTCTTCCTTTTTTTTTTTTAAATCAGGGATTCTATTAGGTCTCTGAGTTTGCTGTCCACTTAGCCCATAATCTTGGTATATTCCTTGCCCTCTGTCAAACCTCTACACTCCCATGACTGGAGGGAAATCTGATCATGGTAACTTCTATTTATGCTATTCTAAAAATTAATGGAGATTATTGCCTTCTCTGGGAGGTAGCTGCTTCCTATCAGTCAACCTCTCACCTCCCTGTGATGATGACCACTCACTCCCCATTGCCTTCTCATATTAACCCTCTCCAGGTTTGCCCCCATCCTCCTGCTCTGTATTGCAGATGATGACCACTCCTTGGTTATACACACATATTACTAATCAACATATACATTGTGAGTGTATCATTTCATATCCTCCATCAGCATAACTGCTATACCTGCCACCCTTATATATTATATATAAATATATCATATATATCATATATCAAATATATCGTATATATCTCCTATCTCTTGGAACTCTAAGAAATAACATCTTCTTTCAATAACATTAGGCTCTCTGAGTCAACACTCAGTCACCTCTACAAAATTCCAAGAGTTCATTTTCATTTCTACCATAATGTTTTACCAGGTATGTGGAGACTTCATCAAAGTTTATACTTTCCTTTGCTGATGTTTCAAATAATTTTACACAACCATGCTTTTTGCAGAACTACCCATCTTGAGACTGTTGTTCATGCTTACATCCACTCATGTCCTCATGTTTGTTGCTGGCAGAACCACTGAAGGGTTGTCATTAGTTTACTTTTAGTCCAAATTATTTTCCCACTTTGTCTCTGCTCCATATGTGGCTGACCTGGTGATACTGAAGACAATAAATGCACCCATAAATTTATGTAACAGGCTATTGTCATTTTTCCCAGTTTTTCTTGACTTGTAATATATCAGAGCATGCCAAGGTCTCTGGGTTCCAGTGTAGCCTCTTGAATGCAGTGTCCACACAATGGTGAGTTGGTAATGCTAGGAGTTCTGGTGCACATGGCACTTGATGATGCTGGTCCTGCCCATGCCCAGATTACCTGTCACCAGCACCTGGTACTGGCTCGTACCTGGCTGGGGCTGAAGAGAGACTCAAGGAGTGTAAACATGCTCCCATTTTTTTGAGGTTTTCATTTTGATTCATCTATTCATTGCTTGGATATCACTGCAACATAAGTTTTCTAAGAAGGTATAAGAGAACTACGTTCCCTACATTCTTTGATAAGATCATTTGCCTGTTTCCTTTATATTCAAATGACATCTTGGTAAAATATACACTGGACACACAGTAGAGGAGGCTGAGGTTCTGCTGGGGAATGTAGGTTCTATGCTCTGTTCCACGATCCCAATGAATGTCCTAGACATGGATTCCAAACATCCAGCCAAAGGTATATCCCTCTTTGTTGAGCTTCATCTTGGTCCTTCCGCACATCTTAGATGAATGAGAAATGTTGAATCCTGGTGGTCTTTCTTCTTCTTGATGAAGATTATCATTATCTGAAAGAGTTTTACTTATATCTTTTATTCTTTCCTTCAAAACTAAGTGAGAGAGAATTTTCCAGATTTTGTCAACTTGTCTTCTTTATTAAGAACTATTTGTATAAAAATAAAGCAACTGTTCTCATGAGTTATTTAAAGGTGCTAGCTGAGACTAGGAAATCTACAACTCTTCCAAGTGAATAGCATAAAAATAATTCAAGAAGATCAAAATAATTCTTGGAGTTTTTGTTTAGAGGTAATGAGTTTTGCCTTTTTCTTCATTTGTATTGTGAAAATTCTGAGTCTCATCAATGATAATCTGTTCTAAGTTATAAATGCATTCTGGGCACATCCTTGGGATATTCATTGTTATTGTTAAGAATAAAAGCATTGCAGTTTTTCCAAATTCAGAAATGAAAGAAAATTTATCCATGAATTAAGTATATAGTAATAACATTGTGTGCAGAGTAATTAACAAATTAATTTTCCTAATAGTCCTTAAGCATAGCAATGAAGATTATTTGGAAGCAGTGAATAAAGGCTAAGCCTGATTTTCAACATCACATTAAGGTGAGTAACTTGAAAAGTTCTCAAAGACATATTTTCACAGAATTAGAGATCTTAGACTATATAATGAAAAATATCTCTGTAGCCCAGTCCATCTTCCATGATTCAGCTGAGTCTTGGACAAGATTTAAACATCATTGTCACCAGCCTAGGCATCATAGTGAAACCTTGTCTCTTCAAAAAAATAAAAATATTATCCAGGCATAGTGGCATGCACCTGTTATCCCAAGTACATGGAAGGCTGAGGCAGAAGGATTGCCTGAACCCAGGAGGTTGAGGCTGCAGTGAGCTGTGATCACGCCACTGCACTCTAGCCTGGGTGAAAGCAAAAGAAGCTATCTCTAAAAAAATGTTTTAAATCTTTATGCTATTCCTCTTGAACATAAACTGTACTGAGATGGTAGAAATTCAAGAAATTGCTCGTCTTACAGAGTGTGAGTCTCCAAAGTGTGACTCCAGAGTGTGAGTCTTTGAATTGTGAGTCTCCAAAGACTTTACAAAAGGCCTTCCATAAGTTTTGCATTCTTTGAGTGCTAGTATCATAGTAAGGTGCAGGGTATCTTACACGGCAGCTTGAATCATAAAAGCACTTTTCTTTGCCTGGGCTCAAGTCGATGATTTTTATCCTGACAAACACTTTTTTAGTGTAACCACCAATTTTTGCTAGCATATGCTTTAAAGTTAGGGCAGTTTGTGAAGAATAGGCTTTTAACTCCTTATCTTGTGCCATGACAAAGGTGTACAGGACTGGCTGACTTTCCTGGGAAATCAGAAGAGCATCACATATGACATTCTGGTTCTTTTGCAAGCCTAGATCCAAAGACCAGCTCTTAGAAATGATTAGTGTCCCTTGTCTGGCTGTGCTCATTTCTTTGTGTATCCATTGTTCAAGTTCTTCATGTAGTGAGAACGGTTTCTCGCATAACTTTTCTGGAGTATATGTTATCTTTTCTGTTAGCCCTGCATAAGTAAATAATGATAATGAATTATAAAGTGTTGAGGACTTCCAATTTAAGTCATAACAAAGTAGTTTGTATATGCCAACCCTTCCGCCAAAAACAAAATATAAAAGCTGAATAAAATATATTGAACAATAATTTAAAGAACTGGAGAGCAACCAATACAAGTAGGATTTAAAGGACTATAGTAATTGATAGAGAAGAACCACAAGATGTAGCTTAACATTCACCCCTGCTTTTTCCCTTCAGATATTTTCCATGTCATTGCATGGATAAAGAGAGCCCAAACAGAAATCATCAGTTTTACTGGGCTGAGGAAAAAAGTCATCAGAATTCAGGACTGACAGGAGATCTGGAATTTGAGATGAAAATCCCAAAGAAGGTGAAACTGCAGAGAAGAAGCCAAAATCTACACACAAATTTCCTTCGACTAATTGGCTAACATAAGCAAGATCCTGGAATCACAGAAGAAAATATCAACTGGGAGACTAAAGAGAAGCCCGTGTTAATTTACCTGGAATGTGACAGCTCTGTGCCTGATTTTCCAAATTATTGTATTTGCAAAGAGACCAACTCTGGGAAACAGGTGATGACATACTTGATGGGTCTTCATCTATTTTGGAAAAACCTTAAAAAACAAAAATCACATTCTTAATTTGGCACAAGCAAAAACCACACTCATGCATAGTATATCAAAGTCTACTTAGAACTGATCCTACTTTCCCAATAATAACATGGTTAGATATTGTGCTTAGATTCTTAGGTAAAATACAAATGTAACATTAATCCTAGATTCCTAGGTCAAATACAAAGTGTAAAATTAATCACTGATGCTACTGAAACATTCTACACTTGGAATGAAAAGTAACAGCAAAAGTATTAATAGTAATTTAACATATTCCTATATGATTGAGTTTATTTTAGGAGCAATTAAAATTAGAAAATATGATGACCAGTAAAAGAAAGCTGAGATTTGTGTAGATTCTAAGGAAGAAGCTTACATTTTCAGAGATCGTGTAAATTGCTAGTGCTAATCTAATTTCATTTGAGGCTTTCCTTTCCCCAAAACAGATAAAATACCAGCGTTATTCTTTGTTTATTGGTACAATTTAGGGTTACATTTTGGCTCACAAATGTGAGAGGAAGAGTGAAGAGGTTTTACGGGAAATAACTGGAAAGAGGGTAAAGAAAGATGAAGAAGCAAGTAAGTAAAAGAGGCAAGTGTTCCAGAGAGAAAGTAATGGTCCGTTACTTTTCAGAAATTCAGCTCAGAAAGAAAAAGGAAAATGGTTGAACAGACTTTCCCTGAAAGTGAGGAAAGCGGTGGTAGGGAAGAAAAATTAGGGTTAACTGGATCTTTGCACTAGGTAGGGCAATTTGAAATAGATCATGTGCTTGCAGTATGGAATATCTATTGTCTTCTAAGTGGGAGGAAAACCAAGAGACAGTTCTGTTTGTATGTACAACTATTGATTGTACGCACTAGAGATTAGTACATTGGATGTTGAAATTGGAAGACTATTCGTCTTGTCCCAGATTCCAAAGAAAAAAACCCTTCCTGCTACCCAAGACAAGTGTATCCTTATTGCTAGCCCCCCATCCTCCACCTGGTTCAGCATCCACCATAAGCTTGACCCATTTCTCTGAAGTGAACTGCGTCACACGATTGCCTTTCACATGCCAGGAATCAGGGTCTCTCATAAACACTGCACAGCAGAATCGCTCTACTTTGAGTCCACAGACATATCCACAAAGACTTTCTTTGGCATATACTCCAAGAAATTTGCACGAGTAATGTATCTCTTCCTCTTCTGGACAGAAGTGGCAGATGGGCAGCTTCCTAATACAGTTTTGCATTTCTGCTTCTAACTGAATGAGATCACTCTCTTCTGCTTTAAAGCCAATTATTTCTTTATCTTTATTTATTCCAATGAACAAATATCCACCATCAGTATTTGCAAGTGCAGAAACATATTTAGGAAGATACTCTTTAATTCGTTGTAATAACTTTGCTGTTGAGAAATCTTTAAATTCAATATGTGTGGATTCAGTAAAGGTCACTTTTTCTTTATAATCAAGTTTAGTCCTATTAAAAAAGTCAGCAGCCAAGGCCTCCATATCACTTTCTTCTTTTTCATCAAGACAGGGTGGCTTTGCTGACAATTCTGGTCTTAAATATGATCTCCCTCTAGTCTCTTTTAAGTCTTTGAGGAACTCCAGTGCAGCAATATCATTCATAACTACTGTAGATGTTAAGCTTCGTTTGCGCAAATTGGTATTCAAGGTAAGAACTGGCGAATGACAGGCTTTTAAGCTCCATGATTTCACAAAAAACAGAAATTCATTTTTTTCCTGAATAAAGTCCAGGTAGTCATGAACAAATGGTAGAATATTACTAAAAGAACGTTCCAAATCTTCTCCTATTCCATCTTCTATATAATTGTAGTTTTCATTCTCAATTTCAGCCCTGATCACTCCACCTCCAGAATTCAAGAGAGCACATACTGCTCGTAAGACATTTTCATTCTGCTTTTTTCTCATTTGACAATTCATTTTATCTCTAAATTTCTCTCCAAGAGTAACTCTTCCCACAGCTAGAACCAGCTCAGGATAGTGAGTTTCCAAATCAATACTGATGTCCATTTTCCCAGCAGCTATGCAATTTCCAAGCAGAAATTCTTTTCTGTAAAATAGAAAAGAGCCATTAGAATAGGACCTAAGCAGAAGAGAGAGTAAATTCTATATTGCTAGGCAAATGCAGCAAAATACTATTTTTCACTGGACTGGTAAGTATACAGCTTTGAGGTAACTTTATTTGAACAAATTTTGAGCCAGAACTATAATAATTTATATTCCTAATGAATTTTTAAATTTGTTACTCTAGTTTTATATGATCCTATGTTGATTATTTTAGTCTCATCTTTATCTGTCCTTTATCTCCTTTCTTTCTTTTTTTTTTGAGTTGGACTCTTACTCTGACACCCAGGCTGGAGTGCAGTGACATGCTCACAATCCCTGCAGCCTCGATCTGCTGGGCTCAGGTGGTCCTTCCACCTCAGCCTTCCAAGTAGCTGGAACCACAGGCATGCACCACCATGCCCAGCTAATTTTTTATTTATTGTAGAGATGAGGTCTTGCCAAGTTGTCCAAGCTAGTCTCAAATCCATGAGCTCAGGAGATCCTCTCACCTCAGCCTCCCCAAATGCTGAGATTATAGGTGTCAACCACCGTGCCTGGCTTATCCCCTTTCTAATCCCCAAAATTGCACAACTTGCTTTCTCTCTCCTTTCCTCAAATAAGTCACTGAAGGGAATCTATATTTTTTCCCTTCTCTGTGAACTGGGTTTTAGTTATGTGCATTATTTCTACTTTTAATTTTAATAATTACAGCTTTTGCCTTCATTAATTATCTCCTTTTCTGAGATGTCCTTTTGGAAAATCTCCCATTCTGGTCTAAGGACATCTAGTAATCTGTCAAGTTAATTATTTTTCCTTCTGATAAGAACAAATTAGATTCACATATTTTGGGCATTGATCTTAATCAAAGTGGGCCAAGTCAATGCCCTTTTCCTATAAAATATACACACATTTTTAATAAGGTAAAATTCTTATATACAAAACACCTTGCTATGGTTTGAATTTTTTATCCCCTCCAAATGCATATGCTGAAGCTCTAACCCCCAAGGTGATGGGACCTTTGAGAGGTGATTAGGTCTTGAGGGTGAAGCCCTCACGAATGGGATTAGTACTCTTCTAAAAGGGACCCCAGAAAGCTGGCTGAACCAAATCCACCATGTGTGAACACGAGGAGAATTTGGCAGTTGGCAACAGGAAGAAGGCTTTCACCAGAACCAAACTGTGCTGGAACCTTGTTTTTGGACTTCCCAGCCTCCAGAACCATTAGTAATACATTTCTGCTGTCTATAAGCTTCCTTGTTTATGGTATTTTGTTATGACAGTCCAAACAGAGTAAGGTGGTCTGCTTTAGTCTGTGTATCCTTAATCCATTAGGCATGTCCCTTTAAAGTCTATAGAGATCACTGCTTTGCTATAGTTGGAAACCTTAAAGAACTGTAGGTTTCTCAAGCAGCCTAGAGATAGATGAGAGTAAAGATTGTCAAGGGTAATAATCACTACACCAGGAAATGTTATAAAGGGATCAGAATATTTCTGTCCAATGCTAGACCAATATTGTGCAGAGGCTCAACTGTAGGCTGTGAATACTACCGGAATCTCTAAATTCCTGGCCACAAGTAAACAATGGCAACATTGGGATCACATACCATATGGACAATTGGGATTAAATAAGGAAAATGTGTATGTCAATCATGAGCATAACATACAGAGGAAAAAAAGAAACATCTATTTCATGTAACATTTAGCAATTTACAGAGACTAGACTATATGTTCAATAAATGCCACCACTCCAAGGATTGTTTGAGTCCAAGAGGTTGAGGCTGCACTGAGCTATGATCAGCCCACTGCACTCTAGCCTGGGTGACGAAGCCAGATCCTATCTCCAAAAGAAACAAAAAAAGCCACCACTCCACATGCACCAGCGTAGTCACCACCCACCATGTGATTTGGGGACCTTTGTATAGGTGTGCTCTGAGACTCTAATGCCTTTCTCTACCTTTGTCTCCTGATAAACTCCTCTCATCCATTCCAGAACTCCCATATTTGTTCTTTCCTCATTGGAACTCCCACAAAACTTTATATCCATACTTGGCATGATTTTCACCCTGAATCAAGGAAAATCTTTTGAAATAGAGCAGTGAAATCTTCAGAGCAGTTGTTTACAAACTATAGAAAATCAGGTAAGGGCTCCTAATCATTTAAGTCACCAGAAGAAAAGGTTTTGGGGCCTAGTTCTTGCCTTAGACACTGAAACTCAGGGGATTCAGAGCACTATCCATATTCTGGAATGCTCTCCTCAAAATTTTCTAAGCCCTTTCCAGTGCCAGGGACCAGCCAGGATCTACAGTGTCATACTGGAAGGGTTCCCAAGACTAGAGAAAACAGCTCGAGTTTCCAGATCTTCCATTTGGGGTATTAAATAGCCCTGTACCCAAGAAATCTTTCTTGTCACTCATGCCTATGGAGTGGTTTTAGGATCTGTGGCTAAGTCTCAATTAGAAGAATGGCCTGACCAGTGGATCACTCTCCCTCTCTGGAGCAATATTTCTTTTGCAGGATCAAGTGAGACTGGATTGCCAGAATGGTACTAATATACTAATTTTGGTTGATTCTATTTTTTTTATATTGACAGGGGTCCACACAAAAAATTGCTTGGGTGGAATTCCCCAGTGAAGTCTGCTGGTCCAGAGCTTTTTTTGGTTGGGGGGTTTTTTGATTACTGATTCAATCTCCTTTACTAGATATTCAGATTTTCTATTTCTTTTTTTAATTTTTTTTTTTTTTGATTTTTAATTTTAAAGAAGTGGGATACAATTCAGAATTAGGCATACAAGTAGTCACCATACACCAACTGTGCTGCCTTTTGAAACTAGACTGGATGAAAAAATGTGGTACATACACATGGTAGAATATTACACAACCATAAGAAGGACAAAATTATGGACTTCACAGCAATTTGGATTTGGATTTAGAGTCTATAATACTCAGTGATCTATCACAGAAACAAAGAACTGAGTATCATTTATTCTCATTCATAAGCAGACCCTGAACATTTACCATAATACTATAAAAAAGGGATTGGCAGTACCCAGATTTTCTATTTCTTTCTGATTCAGTCTTGGTAGGTGGTATGTTAGGAATTTGTCTGTTTGGTCTAGATTATTTAATTCATTGGCATACAATTTTTCATGGTATTCCTTTATAATACTTTTATTTCTATAAAATCAGTAATAATGACCCTTCCTTCCTTTCTTTCTCTCTCTCTCTTTCTCTCCTTTTAGTTCTTTCTCCTCCCTCCCTTCCTCTCCCCTCCCTCCTTCCCTTCCTTTATTCCTTTCTTTCTCTCTTTTGAAATAGGGTCTCACTATGTTGGCCAAACTGAAATGCAGTGGTACAATCACGGCTCATTGCAGCCTGACCTCCTGAACTCAGATGATCCTTCTGCCTCAGCCTCCTAAGTAGCTGGGACTACAGGTGAGTACCATCATGTCTCATTTATGATTTTAGTTATTTGAGGTTTCTTTATTCATCAACCTAGCTAATGGTTTGTCAATCTTTTTGATCACTTAAGAAAACCAACTCAAAAAACAACAGATGCTGGAGAGGATGCGGGGAAATGGGAACATTCCTACGCTGTTGGTGGAAGTGTAAACTAATACAGCCTCTGTGGAAAACAGTGTGGCAGTTCCTAAAAGATCTAAAACTTGACCTTCCATATGACCCAGCAATCTCTCTGTTGGGAATATACTCAGAGGAAGTCAAAACATTCTACAAAAAAGATACCTGCACACACATGTTTATTGCTATTCACAATTAGAACAATTATCATGATACTATAAGAAAGGGATAGACAGTAGTAGAAAACAGCCAGGGAAGGGAGGGAGGAAGGGCACACTTCATCAATAAGGATACCTGATCTAAAATCAGGTAAAGTGGGAACCAAAGTGAGGCCCAAACTTTACCTGTACAATGACTACTTGTATACCTAATCCCAAATTGTACCCCACATCTTTAAAATTTAAAAAAAAAAAAAAAAAGCCAGGCATGTTGGCTCATGCCTTTAATTTCAGCACTTTGGGAAGCAGAGGTGAGAGGATTGTCTGAGCCCACAGGTTTGAGACCTGCCTGGGCAATATGGCGAGTCCTCATCTCCACAATAAATTAAAACATTAGCCAGGCATGGTGGCATGTGCCTGTGATTTCAGCTGCTTGGAAGGTTGAGGTGGAAGGATTGCCTGAGCCTAGCAGGTTGAGGCTGCAGTGGGCATGAGCATGCCACTGCACCCCAGCCTGGGTGACAGAGTGAGACTCCACAAGAAAGAAAAGAAAGAAAGAAAGAGAGAGAGAGAGAGAGAGAGAGAAAGAGAAAGAGGGGGGAGGGAGAGAGAGAGAGAGAGAGAAGAATTATAAAAAAATAAAATAAACTTTTGATTTTTCAATGGTTTTTCCTATTGTTTTTATATTCTGTGTTTCATTTATATCTGCCCTAATCTTTGTTACTTATTTCATCTGCTAATTTTGTGTTTGGTTTGTTCTTTTTCTAGTTCCATGAGGTATAAAGTTAGCTGTTTATTTAAGAACTTTTTTCTTTTTTAAGTAGGCAATTACCACCATAAATTCTCACTTAATACTGATTTTGCTGCATTCCTAAGTTTTGACATGTTGTATTTTCATTTTCATTTGTCTCAAGATATTTTTAAATTTCCCTTGTTATTTCTTATTTGACTCACTGGTTGTTCAAGAGTGTGGTATTTGATTTCTACATATTTATAATTTTCCAGCTTTTATTCTGTTACTTATTTCTAATTTCATTCCACTGTAAACAGAAAAAACACTTTGTATACTTTCAACATTTTAAAATATATTAACACTTTTTTGTGGCCTAACATGTTGTCTATCTTGGAGAATGTTCCATGTGCTTCTGAGTAGGGTGGTATGTTCTGTATGTATCTTTCAGGTCTAATTGGTCTACAGTGTGATTCAAGTCCTCTATTTCCTTATTGATCTTCTTTCTGATTTTTTTTCTATCCATTATTAAAAGT